TAACCACAAAGGTTCGTGGAATCTTTGTCTTAGTGTTTGGAATTTTTACAATCAAGGAAGAGCCTACATCCTCAATATCATCTACAGTTAAATTGACTAGTTCATCAGTTCGACAAGCTCCGGCAATCCCCAGAATTAATCCAACCTATAAAAAATCAAAATACTTAATAATTGAAATACCTAACAACAAAAGTAATCTTACCTTAATCATTAAGAATTCTTTGTCATCTGCACTTGATAGAAAACGGTCGATTTCACCCTTTGTCAATATTTTCGATTTTTTCGCTTGATATCCGTCACCGGTTCTTTTCAAAAATGCGATCAGCTTGGGGAATTTGCTTATATCTATGTTGTCGTAAATTATCAAGCATGACTTAACCATAGAATATTGCGCCCATAATGTGGAAGACTTGTAATTCTTTGCATTTTCACTGAAGTATGCCAACAAAACATTCTCGCTGTATACTTGAACATTTTTCTCGGCGCACCACTTTTTGAACCGATTGTAGGCTATATCGTATAAAGATCTTGACTTCGTAGGCAGCAAATTGCTTATTGCAATATTTGCAGCCTCCACAATCTCTTCCGACTCACAATTATTCATTGTGCACTAAACAAACTTTAAACTAAACCAAACTAGCACCTTAATTTGACAATTCTTTTTGTTTGTTTATTTTGTAGTTATGACAATAAATCAACGACTACTAAATAAATGCTCAAATCCGAATACAATAATTCTGGTGCTACTTACTTCGTAATGACAAAATATGTGTTTTTAAGTTAATGAGACCGTGGAAAAAATAGTATATATCATTCAGGAGAAATGTTATTTTGTCATCGGTGCATTGTAGCCCTCGGGCTTCAAATTGCACCTCTGCCAAAATAACGCATTTCTCTCCCTTATAGTATAATGTACTATTATTTTAGATTGTTGCCAAAATTTTACTTGCGATAAGGTTTTTTTTTAAAACACGTCGGCATTTTAAATTTTCATAATACTCATCATTGGACTGACGATGTTCGCATGCGGTTGTGCAAATTGCAACACAAATTGCCTACTAATGTATAGGTTGGTCGAGTAGAAGATTATTCATTTAAACTATTTATTCTTCACAGAAATTTAATGGCTAGACGAAACTACGGACAATTCTGCAGAAAAATGTTTCATTGAATAGCTTCTGCACATATTTTTCAAGATGTAAAACTTTTGAACAATGCATTGAGAAACGTGTTAGAAGAATGATGTGGTTTTACCACATCATTGGGCTGTCGGATCGCTCGGAATAAATCCTTTTAGACATTTTTGTGGGTTCATGTTAATGTATTCCTGTGAAATTGAATACAAAGTACAACTTTATCAGAAATTTTTGCTGTTACTGAAGAAACAAGAATGCTATCGGTAACACCACCACACATAAAAAAATCGAGTGCGAAGATGAAGACTCCAGTAGTACTGCTTATTTTGATGTCCATAATCGATAAAAACACTCTCTTGGTTCCTAATATTTAGGATTGGCCATTTTAATTAATAGAATATGTGGCATACAAAAAGTCCAAACTCAAAGATCTGACATATAGATAATCACCGACGTATTTTGATGAGCTGACAACGATACCGTAGTTAGAATTTATTCACAACTACAACTGGCCAGTATCTTGTGAAATCTATATTTTGAGTGAAAATGAACACAAAAATCTCTCAGTTTAGTTAAATCAGGAGTCTTCGATTTGCTTCTAGAGTATCTTTTGTTTTAAAATGTTCTGCGAAGGGGATGTCTTTTTCTTCCAGTATATCCCGTTTCAGATTCCATAGTCAGCTAACATATTTGCGTTCCATCTTCCTTGATATTGCTTTTCCATTTCTTTGAGGTCTTTCGCCCTGTTTTTCGCTACCTCCCCAGGGTTCTCTGGAAAGTAATCGAGCTGTGAATCGAGGAAATTTAACTTCAGATTCATTAAACATACTAGACTCTTGAAGTTGCTGACTATTTTTTCGAATTTTTCACTTTTATTATTCCCAAGAAAATTTTTGCACATTTCTTTAAAACTCAACCATGCATCTTTTTCTTTAATGTTTCATTGAAACGAAGAACAGGGCGTAAAAGTTCCATCAGGACCTCAAAGAAATAGAAAACTGATATCAAGGAAGATGGAACATAAATTTATTCGCTGACTATTGTTGGAATCTGAAATCCCGTACCAAAACTAAAGACAGAAAAAAAAAGAAGAAAAAGATATCTTCTTCGCAGATCATTTGAAAACAAAAAATAAGATACCTACTCTAGAAACAAAGATTAACCATAATCTCATTAACTGGGCAAAGCGAAGACTCTTTTGGCTTAATCGTTTTCAACTTATCAAAATACTTCGGTAATGATATGTCATATCTTTGGGTTTGGACTTTTTTGTGTAATTGATATTATTCTATCATTTAAAATGGCTAACGCTAAATATTAGGAGCCAAACTGACTAAAAGTAGGTTTTATCGATTATTGGCGTCAAAATGAGTAGCACTACCTGAGTATACATCTTCGCACTCGGTTTGTTTTTGTGCACTGCACTGGTGTAATTTTCCCGCATGTATAGGAAAATCGGATTCGCAACGTGCGCACTTATTAAATATGGTGACAGGCACTTTGAAAATTTATTACGAGTACTATAAAGCCTGGTATAGTCCACGCTAATTAAACTTTTTAGAAGAAATATTTCATATACAAATAATATTTTGTCCAGGCATAGTTTATAGGAGTAAGGACCCGAAAAGTTCCTATCCTGACGGTGGGCGCAACCACCCTTTTTCGCGAAAAATTACTCCCGTGCGCAATTTAACTACGGTTTTTCGAGTTTTTCTTCGAAACCATCACTCTGACGGGAAAAAGGTGTAGAAACGAAAATGTTCCCTATTAAATTCTACACAAAAAATGTCAATAGATTATTAACCTCTCCTCCACCTATTTCCTTCTATCGGCGTTCAAAGTAGGGGGTGAAAAATGTGAAAACAGCAAAAAATAAAACAAAAAAGTGATACATGAATATAGAAGAGGAGATTCCGCTCTATAACTTTGATTCGAATCACTTTCTACGTCAAACCAACCGTTTTATAGATATTCGTTCTGAAAAAGGCGTAGGGCCGATTTTTCGCCGAGCGATCCAAACTACTCCCACTTTGAACGCCGCCGCTAGAAGGAAACCAGTGGGAATAGATTAATAACACAGTCCGACAAAATTTAACTTTTTTTCGGAAGCAGAAACTTGAAAATGTATTCCGAAGGATTTAGGTGCGCTGAATCCGAATCTGGCAGCAGAATTGCTTTATCATGTCAGGTTTTTGAGATATCCTAACCTAAAAGTGCAAAAACACTGTTTTTCGTCATATTTGAGGTTATGTAGTAATGCCATCTATTCTTTTTCAAAAAACTAATACATTGAATCTAAAAGTACAAGGCTCCTTCCTTCGAATACCGTTGAGTTTGCTCAAATATCTTTTTTTTTTCGTTGAGATATCACATGTTGAAATTTTTAAGTTTCTATTTATGCGAAAATCTACTAAGGATCCCTTAGACATCAAGCAGTCGATTGCAATTCAGAAACTTCATACCCATACGGTTTGTGGGTTTGGAGTTGATGGGTTTGGGGTTTGTAAGCTTGGAGTTTGTTAGTTTCGGTTTTGTAGAATTGGGGTTTGTGGGTTTAGGGATTGTGGATTTGGGATTTGTGCGTTTGTGGATTTGGAGTTTGTGAGTTGGAGTTCGTTCGTATGTATTGAAGGTTTCTGAGTATGTAGTTTCTGAACTGCAATCAACTGTTTGACGTCTAATGGATCCTTAGAAATTTCAACATGTGATATCTCAACGAAAAAAAAAAGATATCTGAGCAAACTCAACGGCATTCGAAAGAGGGAGTCTTGTACCTTTAAATTATATGTATTTTGTTTTCAAGAATAGATGGCATTACTACATAACCTCAAATATGACGAAAAACAGTGTTTTTTGCACTTTTAGGTAAAGATATGTCAAAAACCTGACGTTATACAGCAATTCTGCGGCCAGATTCGGATTCAGCGCACCAGGATCCTTCGGGAATGCATATTAGTGTTTTTGCTTCTTGACCCTTGTTGACCTGTGTAATCTATAGGACATATTTTGTGTAGAATTTAATAGAGAACATGTCTGTTTGTATACCTTTTTCCCGTCAGAGTGATGGTTTCGAGGAAAAAATTAAAAAACCGTAATTAAGTCCCGCCCGGAGGTAGTTTTTCGTAAAAAAAGGGTGGCTCCTATAAACTATCCATGGACAAAATATTATTTGTCTATGAATTATTTCTTCTATTTGACGTTTTTTCGGCTAATTAGCGTGGACTAGTAAGCGAAAAAGTAAGAATTTTAATCCTCTATTTCAAATAATAAAGTGTAGTTCTTAAGTTTAAGTTATTAAAATTACTATTCAAATGAGTGGGACTATTTGAGTTGATTCCATTTTTTTTTTTTTTTTCATTAAAAAATCACTTTGTGTTTTTGATTAAATGTGACCATAATTCTTTTTTCCTATAAAACTAATGACTTTTGGGGCTACATCCAAATCGTTTATTAAATTATTAAAGAAACAGAAACAATCGGGTACTAGAAATGAACCTGTAATTATAAAATATGTAATGTGTTTTATTAATTTTCTGTTAAAATATAAACTTATCTCTTATATAAATAGTGTTTTGGTTTACAGCTATAAGAAACTTAACAGAAATGGACAACTGTCTTTGTTATAAAAAAAAAATCTCATTGGAATGTCCGATACATGTAAAGGTGGTGTCTAATTACATATATTACACAGATCAGTGCAATTAATAGATTCCATAATTTTCCGCAATTTACAATTAAAATATAAAACATTCGTAATAATTAAATATGTACAGATTGCAACTAACGTAGTTTAATCAGTCTTACATTGGGTTATATTATTATCTAAAACTAAGTATTCTTTTCGTGCCTCTCATTCGAATTGATTTCCTTACGTAGTACCATTCTAATAGGAACATTGGATATATTACGTAACAAGTAAATTTAAGTTAAACCGGTACTTCTTTATTCGATTTTTCGTTTCTTCTTCGCTCCCACTGATTGACCCAATTGAGAGGATAACACATCATAGCAGACGCCAGAAGCATTCCTCCGGATAAGTAAAAGGAAGCGTCATAGCTGCCAGTGGCGTTCTTGAAGGCACCTGCGAGGGGAGCGCCAATTATCGCGGCCACACCTTGGAACAGTAAAAGTAGTCCGAAAGCGTTCGTCAATTTTTCTAGGCCCAAAAGATCGACCACAACGATTGACCTTAAAGACGCAAAGCAGGCTGAAACAAATAACGAATGCTGTTAGTCTAGTCGGTAGGATTGCCAAAGGGGATATAAATTATTCTATTATAATAATTTACGCAGTATAGCAAATAAAATTAGTATGCATATAATTAATTAGTAGTTGTCCAGAAGGACTGGATCTACACAATTATCTGTTATTTGCATCAGCAAAATTTTAATTTGTCAATAGCACTACAATATTTTCCTTTAAAGAAAATCAATAGTTAGTTGCGACGTATTTTATTTTAAAAACTTGCTGATAATACTATTCATCTATTTTTACAAAAAGTGTTCTGAAAAAGGTTTCCACAAATTCAGAGCAGAACATCGAAAACAAAACGATTTTTTCCTGTAGACAATAGGTCTTATTTTAAAATAAAATTCATATAACTTCTTTGGATATATGTGATAGGTTCGTTTTCGACTACGCTTAGAGCTTACCATTCTTAAAAAAATTATGTACCTGTTTTGATCTTATTTTTGGAAAAAAAGAATAGAGAATTTTATGAAATTATTGTACCAATTCTGTGCAAAAACGTATCAAAATTGATGTCATCTAAAAACGATTTTGTCAAACTTAGTCGTAGGTAGTCGAAAAAAAGTTATATCCAGTAAGTTAATCTGTAAGTAAATCAAAAGTTTGCAAGAATAAAAAAGTAAAGATATTTCTGATCCAAAAAGCAATATACTTAAACCACAGGCGTGCGCACCAAAAAGTTGACTGGGTAAATATGTAGGTACGACATTTCCTCCGTGCTTGTTTTGTTTTTTTTTTATTTGAATTCAATAACAACTTAACTTAAAAACGAACAGATTTATTGTTAAAAACATTTCTTTCTTCTTATTTTATGTGCAGCAATTATAACTCTGTATGTCATATATGTGATACTTGAAAGTCTATTGAGAGCGTTGAAAATTAAATTCTGAATGTAACCGTGTTTGTGAACAAATATGTCCAACTAGTTGTTCCTGGGCAAATGTTTCAAACGTTTGTTTTCTGACAAAAGGGTTTACCTCTACTTTATCAGGATGTCATTGATAAATAATCAAAATTTATGAATAGGAATTGAAATTGCTGGTAGTTGACCTTGGTACAGTCAATTGCGTTTTGTGCATTTGCGCAATCATTTCAATACAATAAAAATACCTCTTTTATGTAAGAGAAACCTCAAATTGTAATATTCTAAAATATTGCTAGAAAAATACTACACATACACTAACACTGTCATATTTAACATTCAACAACTCGCCTCAGAATTTGTAACACCTTTTTCAAAACACCCAGTAAATGTATATGTAAATGTATTTTTTTATGTAGGAAGCTACGTATTATTCAGTAACAGAAAAAAATTGTTACTAAGATCTTACTTCATACCTACATAATTTAAATACTCTCCAATCAATATGTATTTATAACTTGAATGACTATTAACGTCATAGAATATTTTTTGTTAAATATTCTGTGGATATAATTTGTTATTATGTATAAATATAAAATAAATTTGGATATCGTGTTTAGAAAATGCCACCATTAACTGTTCTACTTTTTAGATATCTTTATTTACACTATACTTATTAAACCTATTAAGATGAAAACTACATGTACATATAATTGAAACTAAATTACTATCAGTAATTTAACATTATGATAAACTATCACAAACCAGTTTAAGTTTCTAATTAAGTATTGAAAGCAAATTGCTATTTAAAAATACACATAATTAAATATGTAGTATTAGACAAATATTACTCCAAACAACTATTTCATAGTTCGAAAAGTCTAGTTTTGTTTTAGCACAATTTAAATTATTTTAAAAATATCAGTGAAAAAAAGTACATATTGCACTAAGTAAAATCTCAAAATAAAGTGTTCTTCATTGAAACATTTACTTAGTCACTTTCATTAGTCTAATAATTTTAAGGAAGTCTATTTAATCGATAGTAATTTAAATTATGTTTGCCACCGGCATCAGTAATTAAATAGTGTACTTTACTAATTCCAGACAGGACTATTATTTTCAAACAGGTTTAAAACAAGTTTCATAATATCATAATCAGTGTCAACTAAAAGTTTATTTTAATATTTTTAGAAGTATTAATTGTTAACTAAAACATTCAATTTGGTCATATATTTTCCACTTACCGATTGCTAATCCAAACACCACAGTGTAGAAAAATTGATACTGAGGTGTGAGAGAAAGTCCACTAAATATCGTAGCAACTCCACCAATTGTCAAGGCCACGTTGGTTAAAACCAAAGCATTTACACCTGGTAAAGAACTCACGATTCCACACAACACCCTTCCTACAGTATTTGCAATCCCTATAGACGAGACTAACCACACTGCCAGAACTGAGGTCATACCGCTTGTCTTCGCTCTGTCGACTAAGAACATGAAAGGTACGTAGAATCCCATCATAGTGAAGAAACCTCCTACGGCAAGAATAAGAAAGGAAGGAGATTTCAGTAAACTGAAATCTAACATGGTGGCTAAAGCCCTTCTAAACGCTTCTGGGCATAACTTGCAAGAATGTTTCTTTTCTTCTTCTATATCGTTTTTGGTAGGCAATCTAATAACAGACAAGTTGTACGCCACCGATGTCCTTGAAGTGTACTGAGGTAATCTAGTCAAACTAGCTCCGAAGAAGATATCGTCCCTGTACAAAGGTCTGTTGACTTCACTTTCCTGCTGATTTTCGGAAACGGTTCTTGACCTTCGAGGAACTATGATTGGATTCAGTTTATTTAATTCCAGAAGATGTGTTTTACCTTCTTCTTTCGTCTTTCCTTTGTCTGCTAAGAAAGGAACGCTTAAGGTTTTTTCTTTTTCTTTACTGTAAGTATCTGCTCTCTTTCTACTAGGTATGCTTATGGTGTGATAAACGTCTGAGACTCTAGGGTACTCTGAATTATTGTTAACACCAAATAAACGAGGAATAGAAGATTGGTTATCATGAGTCGAGATAGTAGAATTTCTTCTCATAGAGTTAATGGCTTCCTCCATTTTTAAACGCGCTGCTAGGGGTAACTTGGTAGGATCCATTATCAATTCGGGCTTTTCCTCTTTGTCATCCAGCTCCTTTACTTTTGTTGGTTTCAATGGTCTGCAACAAAAAGTAATATTAACAATGTCTTCAAGGTAAAAAAATTTAAGAAGACGGTAGCAAGTTTTTCAAAGAAAGATTAATTTGAAACTTACCTAAATAGTGCACCATAGATTATACAGCTAAGTACTAGGGCTCCTTGACATAAAAGGGCACTCCTCCATCCCAAATTGGTGATCAGGGCTTCACTAAGAGGGGCAAACAGGAACGTACCTATTCCCGATCCACAAACCGCAATCCCTGTAGCAAGCGCTCTCCATCTTTCGAAGTAAAATCCGATAGTTATCACAGAAGGAACATAAATAAATCCAAATCCAATACCTACAAGAGAAGCAAATCTTAAATTTCACATGTTTTGCTTTTAATAAGAAATAACACATCCGTGGTAAGCAATTAAATTAAAACTATTGTTTGTTTAAGCCTTGCGAAATATAAGGATTCGTTAGATATTTCAATTACTGAAGACTTAGTGATAAAATTAATTAGGTATATTTCATGATAAGTTAGATTGATTCATTTACTTATATTACGTTCTTAGGTAGTTTTCGAGGTTCTGAGCAGCATTTTCGTTAAATATAGAAGCTTTTGACAAAGGCTGGACTACAAAACTAAACAAAAATCAGGGCCTTATATAGTCTACGAACATCATTATTTAATGTCACTCTAAGACACTTGGCTAGAAGTTTTAGATTAGGTTTTTGTACATTTCTTGAATATGTAAGAAAGTATACTAGGTGTGCTTAAATTATTTTCCAAAAAATTTGTATGTCTCCTTTGCGTCGAATTTTTCTATTTTCTATCGGTAATCAATGCGCTAAAAACATAAGGAGTTCGAAAATTCTGTGTTCATATTTGGAGGAACAAAATAAGAAAAAAATATAGTACAAAATTCCAAAATTTTACGATTTCAATTTTGTTCTTTTACCAGTTAAAAAGTCGTTTTAAAAAATTAATTATCTTGGTCAGGAAGTATTTTACAACTTCCGTTTATAGGAATTTTATTAGCTCTAAATCTCATCTATCTCCTGGCAAGTTATGATGGAAACATTATAACACCTTATATAAGAAAACGAATATTTACCTCCTAGAACTCCGTAGGAAATACACAGGAATGTGACGCTGGTCGAATAATACGACACCGCAAAAGCGGTCGCCCCCATCAAACTTCCGAGGATAGCCACTAACCGAAAACCATACCGATTAGCTATTGCACTTGCAAAAGGTCCAGCTATGAGATAAAACCCTGACATCAAAGACCCGACTAGAGTCACTTCTGGTATTGTAGCGGAAAAGTCATCTGCAATGTATTCGAGGAAAGTTCCGAAAGAAAATATTATGCCGTCCACTATCATATTACACATGAAAGATGCCGCCACAATTACCCACCCCCAGCCTCCATCCGGAGGGACTACTACCTCCGCCTCGTCGGAACAGGCGTCGCTGCTTGATTCCTCTTCATCATCTTCTTTCACTAGTTTTTCACATTCGTTTATAGGCGTCGCGACGTTAGAGTCACTTATTTCATTTAACTGCTTAGCGCACTTGCACTCCGTTACTTCGTCTTCCGATGTGGGCACTTGGTGGTAACTCGTGTCAACTTTTCCAGGGGAATCCACATTTGGAGGCGCCATTGTTGATTGGTTCTGAAAAAATAAGAAAAATGTTTTAATAATCACAACTATTCGATAAAACTTTACTTCTAATTCTTCCATGTTGAAAATCAATGGGTTTGTTTCGCATGGGTAAGTTGATGCAGCAAAAAGAGTCTGCTGACTGAAAGAATTTGGTTGGAAAACCTGTTTAAGTAAATAGGTGTTGTCCTTCATGGCTGTGAATAGAATTGTCAGCAATAATTTACATATAATTGTGGTTCAGCAACTTGCTCTAATAAAACTAAATCCGAATTCCTCCCGATTTTGAAATGGGGGCAATTCACTTCTTGTCTGCAACCTGCACCCGTTAATACAAAATATAAATATATTATGGATATTATAATTCATTGTTTTCAGCATCGCATTTTGAAAGTACTTAAACGTTATTTAAACAATAACTATACTATCCCTCCGTGCATACTTTTAAAATGTAATCAGTATTATATTATCTGTCTCAGATTGTAGATTTAGTATTTAGAAAGCCTTGCCTGCCTTGCATACATCTTTTAGTTGTAAATATTTACATCCTTGTTTATTCTCCTAATAATCTGAGTACACTTAGACACACTATTGAAACGTCTATTACATAAAAGAGATAAAAATATTGGAATTTAGAACGGATATATTGATTGGACAAATGGATAAGTTGTAGAAGTGTGTTATCTCTAATCAAAAGCAAACACGAGTAGGTACTGAATTATTGCATCATGTATACGTGAAGATACTGGAAAATACTGGTTAAATAAAAAAATTAAAGCCTGATTATGGCTCTTTTAGATATGTGACATACCATTCCTTACTAGAAATCAAGATGATGGTAACCTTTTATACATTTATTATTAGCGAATGAAGGTAGTCATTTAAAAAATGATTCCATATATGCATTTAACATAACTTGAAATTGGATGGAACAAAGATCCATTTATTCTCAATCATAGGTGCACAGTCTAGATTCTTGATTATTGTACCAATCATTGTAGGTAATGAAAATTACCAATAATTAACATTTGTATGTTGAAATTTGACATTCAGCAAACAACATGCCACTAAATTTTTACAAATGTAGACTGTACTTATTAAAAACATCGCCTAGTTTCACAAAATGTAAATATATCGGCAACTTAGCATAACTGGAAATATATTAGTATAACTAATAAACAGAATGGACAGACTGTTATTCATTAATTAACTCATCGCAAAAAATTCATAGCCAGTTTTGCATAAAACATGGCTTTCTGACGTATGGGTTGAAGTATTTACATACACTTAAAGGAGGCTCTGGAAATTGTGTTCTATAGGATTTTATTTCACACAAATACTATAACTATAGAACAGTTATAACCATGGGATGCTACAAATGTATAGCCCCGCTTTATCACTGAATATTACTCTACAACGAAATATAATCCGAACCGTATAAGCAATTTCGCTAAAAACTCCTTCCATAGATTTTTATTTATAAATAATAATAATAA